CGATAAATTTGGATGTGACAAGCTTGTCGTTCTCAGAAGAGATAGTGACTTTCCTATCGAAAAGTGTGTCATTTATTGGTTATTTTTGCATCTCATTATCACCAAGAATAATAGAAAATTATTGTTCGAATCCCGTAATAAAAGCTTTCAAATTTATAATTCACACGATCGGCAAAAGGGCATGTACAAGTACCGCCAGACAATTAGTGTGAACGCGTACGGGTGGCCCACTAAACGCGTGCCAGACTCCAGCGTACGACTTTCCGGTATTTTGTAATTGTTACAAAACAAAACTTCTGGTGTGAAAATCTTTATTCAGTCGCTAATCCTGATGCACAGGAAATAAAACGAATGTCGTTTTAGCACAAGATTATTGATGACACAGCTGTTTTTTTTCCTTCACAATGCAGGACGTTCAAAGTTGGGGTGCGGCTTCTAATACGTAGTTTTCAGATTTCTAATTTTTTGCATTGACGCGTTCTTGCAAGCGTCAAAGTTAGGGGTGCGGCTTCTAATTGGGCTGCGGCTTAAAATAGGACTTTAACGGTACATCATATCAGTTTTTCTTCAGTAGATGCTTCTCACTTGCTGCCTCTATAAAGGTCATTAAGTTAAAGTCTCAAGTAGAGTATATGCAGGCTTCTAAACAAAAGCGATTATTTTCTTGCAAGTCTCTTTGTAGTAAACAGTTCCAGCCAAGCTCCTATACACAGTCCCTCTAAAGTCTATAGAGGGACTGTGTCCGCTAAAATAATGTTTCCTGCAACTTATGAATATCACTATGAATATCACAGCAGTGATTCAATGTTGTATTTATTAAAATAAATAAGGTCGAAGTTGAAAATTTGTTGAATAAAAGTTTTAAAACATGAACTGGTAAACTGACGAGCTGCTAAGCTTGAATGTCTATTACCATGTTCACAGGTGTGCCACAGAACCAGCTTGACCAACTTGGAAAACAATCGTTATCAGTGGTTTTAATTGGTCCTGTGTTCATACGTATATAAAGACTAAATTGAGCCGGCGTTGTTATCGGCCACCATGTTTCTTTGAAATACTTGCAATGAATGAAACTCCAGAACGAGGGTGATATTGAGAGCATGCTTTTAAGGCGGCGTTATTGTTCACACATGCTAAAACCCTTTCTGTAAGTACAGGGTACCAGTTGAGATTTGCCATTTTAGGAGGTCTTAAACTAATGGTGCTAGCTTATCTTGTTCATATGTGTTTCAATGCTGGATTAACTTTAAAACTGGTCTCAAAACTTGTTGGCACATGTGTAAACACAGTATACAGCCATCTGCCAACAAACGAACAACTCGCTTTTTAAAAAAATGGCTACCAGGTCACTTTGGTAAAAAGGTTAGTCATCATAATTACCATAGGATCAGGGTTCTCCCCACACTGGATGGGGCCGTCCAGCACTCAGAATTGGCGACCGGCACACAAGGATGCCGTCCGGCACTATTGTTTTTGTCCATGACTCAACTAGAGCGCTGGAAGACAAAAGAATGTTTGAGAGGGGCGATTAATCAAAGCTTGGGTTATATCACTCATTAAAAAAAACAATAGGCGTGAAACTCAACTCAACGAGTTGGCGACGTAAGAGGCCCAGTGGCAATCGACACTAGTAAGTGTGAAACCATACTTAGCATGGAGGGAACGCATTGAAGTTGCCCGGTCTGAGTGGAGACCCAACGTCACGTTTACATGAAAGAAAACAAGTGTCACCGCTTTCATTGACGTGATAAACGATCTTTTATTTTATACGTGAAGTCGATAAAATTACATACTCACAAAATACAAACAATTGAATTTTCTCGTCAATCAAGTCAAATCTATTGAAAATGAGTGGATAAAAACACAGCAATCGTGCTGAACTGCATCATTTTATGATTGTCTAGCCAGGGAGAACACCGTACTTATCTATCCAATATGCTCAAGTTCATTACGTCCAGCAAACGCAAGAAACCCAGCGAAGAGAATGAAGAAAATCACGATCCTACTCAGAAGAAAACCAGAGTAGACGTCGACAAAGATCATACAAAATCACCACAACAACAGAAACGGTCTTCAGGTTTCCGCAAGGAATGGGTCAGAGGTCGTGAGGCGTGGCTTTACTGTCGTTATGATGAAGGGATGTTTTGCCGATTGTGTCAAAAATTCAACATGCACCCATTTGATCGTGATACATGGAATGTAACATTAACATTAAACTGTAGGTACTTGGACTCAACTGGACATTTATGTGTCAAATTTTTGAAGATGA